CCATATTTGAGAGGTTGAAAACAGGATTTTACACCAATCTTTGCATGAAAAGTTACTTCAACAATTAATCAATTATCAAAGTAGTTGCAGATTATGTTTCTGCTAGCTATTATCTAATTACTACCAAGCCCTAAAGTGACATATCATTAATGAGCTTAAAGCTACATTTCTGCCATAAATAATCATTAAACAGTGTATAAACTATAGCTCTGTGTTCTATATGTAGTTGATTCAATTAATAATCTATAATCATTAAACACAACGACATCAAACTTCCTCTTTGGTTATTCGTTTGATGTGAGAAACCTCCTAGTGGCAGAAATGACATATTGTATGTTTAAAGAACCGATAGCAGAGTACGGAGGAGGACTTTGGTCGTTCAAAAGAGGAGAACGAGCGACAACGGAAACTACTGGACGTGTTTTCAGAACCTCAACTTCCGGTTACACCAGAGCAGGTTGGTTCACTGACTGGCTTCTTCTCTCACTGGTTCACCACTCTGAGCTGGATAGTATTCACGCCTTTTTACTGCAGTAAGAAGGATGATTCAGGCACAATGGGACTCAAAGGAAAAAGTAGGTGATAGTGCAGGAACAGGTTGGACTATACTGATGGATCAATGTTACTGCTGCATTCATTCGTGGGATGTAGATGTTGAATACTTTATATTACTGTTGCTACTTTAAGTTAAGCAACGTGTGATTATTTCTAACTTGAATTGTGTAATTTAAGTACTTTACATCCACAGCAATTTGTACTTGAGATCCATAATTTATTCATGACAATTATCTTATGATGCCATGGTCCCAATAACAAATACATTTATCGCTTAACTGTAACACGGATAATATTCATAATTTCAACTACACAGAGGATCACAGTCAGACATTATTATTAGGACGTCACAGATACCAAACCCATTAGTTTGGCGATACCAGAACCAGTTGAAATCCACTGTTCTTGATTCCACAGTAAAAAATGTCCCATAGAAAGGTTTTTTGGACCCTGATCCCCATTTAATATTGATGTTGGGCTTATACGAAGTCTGATCCAATATCAATATACAAGTTAATAGCTCTGCTTCCCTGCACCCAACAAAGCTGTGTCTTAATGTTTCACTAATATATTAATATAGCCCCAATTAATACACTATAACTAATAAACAAATGCAGACAATACAACGCACTCACAAACTCTGTAACCTTTTTTGAATCTTGTCTTGTAGCTTTCTCCTGCAGTTTTTCAGTGCAGCCTTACCCTGAGTTAACCAGAATGAACTTGGATTCCTCACCTGTACTCTCGGTTTTGCGTGGATAACATCAATAAAATACTCTCGCATTGTCGCATCTTAACCAACACTAGTTAGAGTATTTGTACGGTATATGGGTCCAAATATACCACGTAAAGAAGGAGGATGAAACAAGCCACAACAGGACCGCCACAAAGTCAAGGCACGGATTCCATCCACAGATTATTAAAAAATATATTTAACTCACTGCTTGACATTTTTCAAGCCGGCGCAATCTTCTTGCTGTTTTTTAAAAAAAGTTAAACACTCCTAAAGACGTTGAAATAATGTCTTAAACATATACTGGAAACCTCCTGAGCAACGCAGCTGCCCCACGACAAGCTTAATCACAATTACCAGACTTTTCTGGCTTTAAAGTAAATAAATAAA